GGAACTGTGTCACACTGAGGGGCTCATTGTCAACCCGCGCTGCAACTCATTGCACATCACGGCAAATTGAAGCAACTCACTGCTACGTAATGCACATCGAAAACCAGGGACGACTGATGCCCCGCACGTTCGTACCCGGGCAGCAATGCCTGGAACTGTGTCACATTGTGCGGCACATTGTCGACCTGCGCTGCAACTCATTACACATCACGGCAAATCGAAGCGATGGATGCCGGACCCGTTTTCCGTTCACATACGAACTCGTACCATCGAGAAGGTAAACTGTTATAGAAATTTAATTTTTTTTCATCTCCCACTGAATAGTACCGACTTTTAATGCAGTCCGCCCGACCGCGAGTTAAAATTCTAAGATCAGAATTTTTGTTTTTTTAAAAAGTTTATTTTCTTTAAAACTAAGTTTACAAAAATTTAAGGTTGAAATTTAATATTTTATAATTGTAAATTAACTTGTTTATCTTAAATCTAAATTTCGAATTTTACGAAGTGCGGCGACGTCGCGATGATAGCTTAGTCTCGTCTTTCGTAATTGCGCTTTGGATTATATACTTTTGGAAATGCTTATTCAGCATTTACTCTTGAAGGGCATCTATAACTCCTCCCCCCAAAGAGGGAAACATTGCCTGGAATTTTCTTAAAGTGACATGTTTCCCTAGATTCTGTTTGGATCTTTCTTCTTTCGGTGGATTAATTTTCTTTTTCCTGTACATTTTCTTACTTATCAACCCTGCAATTAGAAGTTTGATTAAGCAATATAATATAATGGTCCATATTGTGATTGGCCTCTCGTGTAGATATGGTTCTTCAATTCTTCTCATGTCTTCTGACAGTTTCTCCAATTCACCAATAACGTCTTGAACTTTACCATCTTGGACTTCTTTTAGTTTTTCTATTTCTCCATTCCAAGGTAGTTTTTGTTCGGGTATGTCGGATATTTTCAGATGGGGAAACTTGATTATTCTTTCGGCAACTAGTCGGGATCGGTATGCTTTCAGGGTAGCAGCGCCAATTTGTAGAAAACATTCAATATTTCGAATTCTTCTATCTTCCTACAATTCTTCTTTACCTTTTGAGGTGTAGATGTTGTGATAAGCCATCGATCGTCTGTTATTCTTGTAATTTTCGGGGTTAATACTTCGTCCATTTTTGTTTCACAATTTTCATATTGTCCCATAATCAGAATTAATCGTACTTCGCATGGAGTTTCTTCAAGACTGATTTGATGACTGGTTTCGTGACATATAAATTCTGACGGTAAAACTTCTCTGCATGCAGTGTGAGTAGCTATAAACTTTTCATTATTGATTGCTAAATAAGGAGTTTTGGGAGTTATCGAGGCGAAAGTAGACAAATTGTATCTTTTTGGAAGTGGAAGTAGTTGATATAGGGAATAGGGTAACTTTTCAACGATAGGAATCATAAGAACATAAAATATTTTAGAATCTTTCATAAATGCTTTAAGTGCCTTCTTCGTCGGGATTTATTGGTAATTTGTCATCTGTAAGTTGTTCTTCAATATGTACCAGTTTATGATGAAATGTATTTTTGTCGAGAATAGATGGATGAAATATTCCTGCTTTTGCGAATACTATGAAATTTGTTACGATAGATAGGATGCTATTAAGTCTGTCGATCATGAATATTAATTGATTAATGATAGCATACATTGACATAAATTTTCGAGATTCCAAAGCGAAATAAGATGCGTTTTTCATTGCGGCTCCCATCTGTTATATTCTAGATGTAAGGACCACTTGATTTGATTTAAGAATCTTTATCGAGTCGTCAAATTTTGTCGAGGCTTTGGTCGATAAAGTAATTTGTTTATCGACGATGGTTTTAATTTTCTTTTAAGACGATTGGAGTTCCTGTATCGCTTGATCGTAACGAAGGGCATCTTCTTCGTCTAGGTTTCCTGTAATGGCCTTTATTATACTTCCCGCAATGTTAATTGCTCCTCTTTTTGATATTGGATGATTCTTCGGGAATATATCCTCGACGTGTCTTGTCATTTGTTCTATTCCTGTTTTCATTATGGATATAAAATTGTACATTTCTCTTTCATACTATGATTCCGTTTGGTTGATCATTTTGAAACAATCTTGATAATGTCGTTTGGTTGTCTCCACTTCCTGCAATAATTGCGCTAGATCGTAGACGGTTGTTAGGCTCCAATAACTATGAGCATTTTGAGCTCTGCCCAGTAATACTGGTAGGAGTCCTGTGTTGTCTTCTATGTTAGTTACTGTAACGTCGCACCAGTGACCACGGAACATGAATCCGAGGTATCTGTAATAATGGAATGTTTTAGAGTTCTTGTATGATACCCTTTTTCTCCTGATTTAGTTTTTACTATGACAGTCTCGCCGTTATTTATTTTCGTTATTCTGTAAGGATCTAAATAGGGTTTTTGAAGTTTATTTCTTCCTGCGTTTCTTATGTACACCAATTCATTTACTTTGAATGGTTTTCCTTTGATCTTTTCTTTTCGTTTATTCACGTATTTTTCTTTGTATGCTTTATTTTTTTCTTCTATGGTTTTATATAGATGTTTAAGTCGTTCTTTGTGATTTTGAATGTAATCCGCAAAGTAATCTTTTGAATACAGTAAATCCATGGGATCTCTTAGCGATGTGTGACCAAAAACAACTTCTAGTGGAGTGGCTCCGATAGGTTTTGAGATGCTGCTGTTATATGCAATAACTGCTAGCTTTATAAGATCGTGTGCTGGTTGATCTTTGTTTGTTTCACGAAGACATCGCACGTGGAATGAAATCGTTCAATGTTTCCTTGAGAATTTGGATTTAATGGGGTTCCAAAATCTATTGATATTTTGTGTGCTTCTAATAATTGTTTAATAGTGGAATTGTTGAATTCGGTACCTTTGTCACAACTGATCTCTTCTGGTGTTCCATAAAATTGAAAGTACGTGGTTAAGGCATCGGCTACATCGGTGGCATTAGCGCTCTTCAAAGGAATAGCTTGTACCATTCTTGAAAATACGTCAATGATCGTTAAATATTTTCTGTTACTAATTGAAAATGTGTCCATAAATAATTTTTTAAATGGTCTGTCTGGAGTTTGTGTAATTTGTAGGGGTGGTTGCGAAGGGTGTCTGTCATATTTAGCACGATTACAAATTTCACATTGCTTAATGTAATTCGTGACTGTTTCTCTCATGTTGTTCCACCAATATCTTCTTTCTATATATGCTAATGATTCTTCTATACCTCTATGATTTGATTTTCCGACGTGGTGATTTTCTACGTGTTCTATTTGTTCGTTGTTGTACTTTCGAATTCGTGCAGTTATTATTTTTCTGTTGTCTTTATTTACTTTACTTCCTAATAGTTCCATTGAAGTTGTTATTTCTTCTCCTCTTCCTACATTAATGAAGAACTGCACCTTTTGTTTGTCGATTGGTTCGTCGATAATTTCGATAGTTTTATGAGGTTCTATGGATCGATTAGAATGCGTTGTATCGTCATCTTCACCAGGAAGTAACATTTCTTGATCGTTGTTTCCTCTTAGTTCTTCTCTGAGCATGGATAGATTTTTTCCTGTTGGGGATGATAAAGGGTGATTGACGTGAAACGAAGTATTGGGTAGTTCGCTTATGTTTGGAATTGTTTCTTCTTGCAAAAGTTCGTTAACGAGTTGGTCTAATTCTTCACCGATAGTGGGTGCTGTGGTTTTGTCATCTTCTATTGCGTTTAGTTCCTCGAGTTGGATTCTAGATAAAGCGACAGCGTTTGAATTTAATTTTCCCTTTTTATAAATAATTTCGAAATCGTATTCTTCTAGTTTTAGTTTCCATCTCATTAATTTTGAATTTGGTTCTTTTAATTTCCAAAGCCATATGTGGCAAAAAAAGGGGTTTACCAAAATTACAAAAGACAGAACACAAATATGTTGGATAGGTACGGGCTCCAGCTCACTCAATGGAGACGGGGGGGTTACGATGTTAATAAAAGGGCGCCACGAACTTATACCGATACCCACCAACTTAATTTCCCTCGGACAGCTAGCTAAGTTCGAAACCAAGTCGAGAGCTTTAAACAAAATACACAGAAAGACAAACTCCTGTAGTTGAGATTTGAAACTATATTGAATAATAAGATAAATGATTAGAAAAGAAATATTGGGTTTCATAAAATATATTGGTTTATGACCAATAAAGAGGATTATTAAATTAAATTCGAATATGATAAACAATTTATAAAAAAAAAGGAAAAACCTGACTGCTCTAAGGATTCTCCAAAAATAGAATCAAAACTGTTTAAAAGTTAATAGTTTCTGTTATTTTTGTTAATTATAATTTAATCGGCCGTTCCGTATTTTTTAAGTTTTGTTATTCAGTTGTTTTTTCTATAAGAGTTGACGTTCACGTGCAAGAGACCACGCGTCAATTTTCTGTGCTTAAAGTATTTCCGTGTTATTTCAAATAGATGTTCGTTAAAAGTGTTTCGACTTTTATTTTCTGTTTGAACAACCACTACAAGATTCTACAAGAACTGTAAGACGTTTATATTTCATTTTCTTTATTTGACAGTTTTTCACCCGAACTTTAATTGACATTTATAAGTGTTTTAAATTTTCCTGTTTGCGTTTCTAATATTTTCTTAACATTTTTTTTGTGTATTTTCTTAACAAAAACTATAACCTGAAAAAGAAAGAAAATACACAATAATTGAGTCAGCTGAGTCAATAATGTATGGACACTCCTTTGGTGTCAAAAAAAGATAAATTGAAATAAAAAAAATCGAACAGGTGAACAAAACAAGTTAACAATAAAATTATGAAAAATTACAAATCTTTACAAAACTTTTTTTTTTAATTACTAAATCAATCAAAGAACGATTAAACAAAAGTTTGTGGCAAGGTTTTGACTGCAAGAGCTTGGCGATGGAGAAAGCAGTGCATCCAACAAGCGTTTGGCATTTGTTCTTTCAGTCTAGCAATAAATCCACTCTTCGCACCAGTCATGGCTTTTGCTCCGTCATAGCAATGCATTTTTGTGCCCAATCGATATTCATATCTTGCGTAGCTTCAACGAACATGTCATGCAACAACTGACCTGTAGCATTTTTGGGAAGTGCCTTGCAAAATAGTATTTCTTCCATCAATATTTCATTGGATTCAAAACGAACAAAAGCTACAAACTGCGCACAACCCGCAATATCCGTTGATTCTTCAAATTGTAAGGACACAAAAGAACTTTTCTTTATTTTTTCTATGACTTGATCACGAACGTCAGTCGCCATATTGCTTATCCTGCGTTGAATGGTATTGTTAGAGATAGGTATACTTTTGAGCTTTTCGACCTCTTGTTTGCCAAACATAATCTCTGCTATATCTAAAGCCGCTGGTAAAATCAAATTTTCGGCAATACTGTGAGGTTTTCCTGCTTTAGCCACACGAAAAGCTACTCGATAAATAGCGAGCAACGCTTTCTCATTTAGGTTGGACATTTGTCCTATAGCAGTTTTTTGATGTTCAACCTTTTAGTTTTCGCTCAAAAAATTCCACGGGTTTATTTTTTCATTAGGATGTTTTGTGTTTAGATGGCGTACCAACTTCGATGGTTTCATGCTTTCTCTTGACAAAATTTCAAAGCAAATTACACACTGCGGTTTATTCTCAATCACAGTAAACCCAAATTTCAAATAATTGTCGTCATAAATAACGACAATTATTAAATTTAATTGTCGTAAATTTTTGTATGGATTAAATATTTTTAACATACATGAAAAAAAGGGTCGGGGGGTCGCGAAATATTTTTTGTTGCTAGGGGGGTCGTGTCATGAAAATGGTTGAAAAACACTGATCTAGTCCAAAGATAAATGTCTTTACTCATGTGAGGCCAAAAGAAAAGAAAGGCATCTCTAATAAATGACGAGTTGCACGTATACCAAGATGTGAAACATTGTGAAATTTTAGGAAAATTTGTTTGCGAAATTTTTCGGGAATATAAATTTTAGGAATGGATGTTGAGACATCACCCCAAAGAGTTATATCAGGAAAAACTGATTTTTCGTCAACGAGTTAAAACACAGAAAAATTGAGGGATTCTATATTAATGCGTGACATTGTGTCTGCAATAATGTTAGAATCGCCTTTAATATAAATGATGTCTGAAGTGAATTGAGATATATAATGAACATAACGTGTTTGTCTTGGCGTTTTATCTAATTTGGAATGAATGGAATTAACTAACGGTTTGTGATCAGTGTAAATTGTAAATTGGTTGCCGTATAAAAAATGTTTGAAATATTTAATAGATGAATAAAAAGCTAAAAGTTCCCTATCAAAAGTTGAGTAATTTATTTGACTAGGTGATAACTTTTTTGAAAAGAAAGCAACGGGTTGGGTCGTATTATTAATAGCCTGAGACTTGAGTTAATGTCAAGTTGGCTGAAGGATTTGGATGCGCGATATATACGGACTGGGGTAATAGATCTTTAGCACGTGAAAAAGAGTTGGTGTGCTCGTCTGTCCACACAGTAATTTGCTTCTGATTATTTTTGCAAAGTGTGGTCGAAAGAGAATGCAAGGGTCCAAGAATTTCAGAAGAATTGGGTACAAATCTGTGATAGAAATTGATCATTCCAAGAAATCTTTGGAGTTCTTTCAGATTTTGAGGTTGAGGAAAATTATTTATTGCTTCAATTTTTGATTGAGTTGGACGAGACCCTTTGGAAGATATATGATGGCTTAAAAAATCTATTGAACTTACTCCAAAAACACATTTAGACGGTTTAATGTTGATTCCAAAACTGTCTAATCTTTCAAAAAGTTGTCGAAGGTGAATTAAATGTTCATTTTTGTCTTTACTAGCAATAAGGATATCATCCAGGTAGACAAAAATGAAACTTAAACCGGAAGTTACTTCATTTATAAATCGTTGAAACGTTTGGGCTGCGTTTTTTAACCCAAATGGCATTCTAGAGAACTCATAGAGACCGAAAGGGGTAGTGATAGCGGTTTTGTAGATATCTTCTTCTGCTACTGGTATCTGGTGATACGCTCGTACAAGATCGATTTTTGAAAAAATTGTGCAACCATGAAGGTTCAAATTAAAATCTTGCAAATGAGGTAATGGGTATCTGTCTGGTACCGTTACTAAATTTAACTGACGATAGTCGCCACAAGGACGCCAGTCTTGACAATCTTTTTTAGGTACCATGTGTAAGGGTGAAGCAACAGAAGAAGAAGATGATCTACAAATACCGAGTTCTACCATATCATTGAATTCTCTTTTGGCGATTGCAAATTTAGTTTTGTCAAGTCGTCTCGGCCTACAAAATGGAAGATGTGAATCGGTTATAATATAATGTTTAACATTATGTTTAACAGGTAAATTAAAATCTGGAATAGTGGTTAAATTTGGAAAGGATTTTAAAAGATTTGTAAATTCAGTTTCGATAGAAAATAATTTAGGGGAAGAAATTTCTGAGTTGGCTAACGTGCCATAAGTAGATAAAGTGGTCTTTGAGTCAATCAATTGTCGATTTTTTATATCAACTAAAATGGCGAATTTATTGAGGAAATCAGCTCCAATAATTGGTTTTGTAACATTCGCAATAGTGAAAACGAAAGGAAAATTTCTTCGTAAATTTAAAGAGACGGTTAGTAATTTTTTACCATAAGTATCGATTACAGAACCGTTAGCCGCAGTAAGTATGGACTGTGAGTCTTTTTGATTTAAGGGATAAAATTTATTTGGAATGACAGAAATGTCAGCTCCGGTGTCAATCAAAAATCGCAGGTTATTTTTATTATCATATACAAAAAGTCTGGAAGATATTTGGTTAATTGATTTTGAAGAAGGTGAGGATTTTTCTATCGAAACTTTAATTAGTTTTTTGAATTTGAATAGGATGTAGTTGGTTTATTTTTTATTAAATTATGGAATTTACACCAAGTACCTTCACAACTATAAGCTTTGGTACCATATCTGCTATGAAATTTGCAAATGTTTGAACGTTCTCGAGAAGGAGTACGATTGCGCGAACGAAATGAAGAATTGTCATTGTAACGACAATGTGAACAACACTGACGTTGTAAAGAATTTATATCTTCAACACTCTGTTGTAAGTTATTTATTTTATTTTGAATAGATGTAATAGATGTGTGTTGTTGTGTTACAGTTTGCAACAAAGTTTGACAAGTTGAAGTTAAATCACTGATGGCTTTTAATAAAGGAAAATCATGCGTCGAATGTGAATTTTGGGCAGGCGTAATTTCTGAAACTTTTAATGATGAATAAGGACCGGAATTTAAAGAATCCCAAATTTTATCTGCCATCGTTAGTAATTCAAGTGGATCACTTTTTCCAGAGGCCAGTAAGGCAACTGAAATTGTGTGTGGAAGCCTCCTCTTCCAAAGTTTTAAAAGTAAGTCTTGACTTACAACTTGAGAACCACCTGCAGTAACCATCATACCTCGGAAGAATTCAGATGGTTTTTGATTTCCCATCTCTGAACCCGACAGGAGATCATCCAGACGTTTCTCCTCACTTTGTGATAGTCTATCAATTAAAGTTTTTTTAAGAAAAGGATATAAGTTTGTGTCTGGTGGGTTATTAATCACATCAATAACTGATGAAATGATTTCTAACGGTAAATTAGAAATCACCAGATTGTATTTAGCTTTGTCATTCTGCACATTACATATTGAAAATTTTGCTTCCACCTGAGTAAACCAGATTTCAGGTTTTGATACCCAAAAAGATGGAAGTCGCACTGCAGAAAAATTATCGGAAAAATTTTGTGTATCACCAACGTTGTTATCGGGCATTTTGAATGAAACCTTGTTTAATATCGAAGAATCAATGATTGAAAATTTGAAGAATATAATGTCTGACTTATGAGCAATAGAAACAATTGTCACTCACCCAAAAATCAGTTATTATGATGATTAGTTGTAATAGTAGGTTTCTTCGTCCCTTATTTTTTCTTAGGAAGATTTTTCTTTTATAAAACGCAGATTTCTTCCTGTCGTACATTTCTTTATTCCGTATTTCTGGTGAATTTCTTCTTGTCGTTTTTATTCCATGTGTATATTTCGTCTTCTTCTAATTCTTCTTCGATTGGTGTTTATTATAGATTTATTATACGGTTATTATTATATATTTTCTATTATATCTTTTTTAAAAATAGTCTGGGTCACCAATTATAGAGCATATTTATTTGTAACTCTATATTAATTAATCGTATAATAAAATATTAAAAATTAAAATGGAGTATTTGATAGACTGTTTTATGTGTGTCTATCCGTTTATTTATTATTTTATAACTATAACAAAATCACCATAGGAAAATACATTATGTTGATATAACAACCCATGGTGATATAACATGATGTTTCTATATAAAAATAATAAGAGTGCGTGATGCGCTACAACGGATATCCGTACGGGTTTTGATTCAAGGGCATTTAAAACTACTCTGTTGTCTCTAAAATGGATTGGAATTTGGGTATTTTCAGTAATTAATTTTCTTCTTCGAATATCTAAAACTGCGTTTAATTTTTGTAATAAATCTATTCCTATAAGACCATCGAAGTTCTTACTAAAATCGAATTTATAGAAAACGTGTTTGATTGGCGCTTTAAATATGTCTGGAATTTCTACATAGATAGCGTCATTGTGACATGATGTTCCATGCGCTGTCTTTACTTTAAAAGTCATTTTTCTCGCATAATCTTTGAAATTTTTATATATTAACGAATTTATTAAAGTTTTAGTGGAACCTGTGTCGATCAAAAATTTAAGTCTTTGAAAATTTACTTCATCTTCGTTATCATTTGTCTGTTCGTTATTTTCATTATTTTCGTTAGTCAAATCGGCTTCTTCGTAGTAGTCAGGTTGATTGTAATAATAACCTTCGTAACTTATATGAATTAAAAAGCTTATGTTTGGCTTGAACGATGTATTTTTTCTTTATTTAATAAATTCGGTGCGACACGTGTTTCGCCGTTGAGTCATCTACGGGCACGACTGGCGTACAAAACAAAAATAGAGAGATCAGTATAACAATTTAAGTTAATTATCATAAAATTATAAAAAGTTTCTATATTTACCGTCATTGGACAATAGATGTATATAACGAGAGAGTCGACATATGAGAATTCCTTTCCGAATTTAGATGTGAATATTCGTTGTATGCTTAAATTTAGGTTTTTTTGACATAGATTGTTTTGAATTATTGACGTTAAAACTGCAAAATATTAAATTAAACATCTCAAATGAAAGCATTGTTATCTACGCATACCTCCGATACGTCCACGCCTTGTATAACCTCAAAGTTATATTATGTATAGGTTAAGCCAAAAAATATTTATAAAAACATGAAAATTACAACAAAATTAAGTTGATACGATGTGGATTAAAAATTAAATAAGGGTGATCAACTTAATTTTACAAAATATAAAATTATTGAAACGAAAAACAAAAACTTTAATTTGAGTCACACTCTCTTCCCGACATCTTTGAGCGGACTGAGGATGCGTAGTTGAAAACGGTTGTAGGTTAAGGAAAAATTGAACGTTGGGAAAAAAGCGGGAGAATTCGAAAAATGGTTCCCTAATTGAACTTGAATATTTGAGATAAACTTAGCTATTGTAACATTTTTAGAAAAAATCTCTGGTTATTGAATTCGGAGATGTCATTGAGTAGGTTTCCTATATTATCTTTTTTATATTTGTTTATGAAAAATTCCTCATAGAGATCTAGCTTTTTGGATTTATTAATATTTTTAAGGAGTGAAATATTGTTACTGCTGATTGAATGGTTGTGTGCATGTAAGTGTTTATATACGTTAGAAGTTTGTTTCGTTTTATGTTCTTTGTGTGAGCGCCACCTTTTGGGCGCCGGTAGAAATTGAACCGCCGAACTTTAAAACGATAAAATTGGATCGATCTTTTTGATCGATCTCTTATCGTCGCCACCCTCAATGCGATAACACGCGAGTTGTTAGATTCTTAGTAATTTGTGAAAGTAAAAACCTTTGTGTGATTTGGAGAAGGGAAAGAGAATTGGGTAAATATAGCAAGAATTTCTTTAATTCAGTTTATTTTTTATTATTTCTATTAATTTTGCTTTGAATCAGCACGCCCCTTTTTTTTTTAATTTTGTTCCGGCATTTATTGCTGCGGGAACATTGGTCCTTCGAGCCGGATCGCATTCCGGATTTATTTTCGTTATCATTTTCATTTATTTTTCTTATTATTTTCATTAATTTTCGTCATTACGCTTTTCATTTCACGTTTCCTTCTTTCATCCAGGCGTTTTTTTTTTGGTCCTTCATGTTCGACGTTTCGAACATCTGGCACCTAAATTTGGTCCCTTACCTCATTGGTCGCAATCGTTTCGTTTTAAATCGTCCTTACGAAAATCATCCTAAGTATTTTATATACGTATACCTCGTTCCTTCCACAAGTCTCTCTCTCTCACTCTCTCTCTCTAGGCTTTCTTTCACTCTCTCGCTCTCATCAATCGAGTTGCGAATCATTAAATAAATTTTGTTTCTATTCTATTTTTAAACAAAATTACTTTATTATCTCATTATGAGCGAAAAACTTACAAAACTCACTTTACGCCGTACTGGTTTCTATAACCACCTACTTGAATGCCTAGCCCTGGGTCAAGATACTGTTACGGGGGATGGATTGCGCCGAAGAAGAAACAACAGTTGTTGAATAAAACGAAATAATTTATTTACAAAATATGTACAAAAAAAAAACCCTCAAAGGTTTTTTTAAGACGAAAGGGGTCGTCTTCGAATTGGCGGTTGAAGTGCTGGCTTGTTGTCGCTGCTGTTGTCGCTGTTNGTTGGTATCCCCCCCTATACCTAATACATTGAGGCGTGACGTCACCGCAGGAGCAGCAGGAGCAACTTCCGCTCTAGAACCGGCATTCTTACACTACTCATCCTTACATCTGAAGGGTCAAGGTTCTTCATCTGTTCACGTCGGGACATCCTTCTATGAAATGTCTTCTAATATAAAAGAAACAACTCACAAGGTTATTCTACCCATTATTCAAGTCAACACTCCGGATCAATTTGGAAAACTACATACCGTAAATGCTTTAATTGACTCCGGAAGTATGTCAAACTTTATTTCTGAAAGACTCTCAAAGAAATTACATCTTCCTCGAGAATATACATCATGTGTAGAGATTCAAGGACTAAACTCGATGACATCTCTATGTAAAAAGGGATCAATTCATTGTTCCGTTCAACCCATCCATTCTCACCAACCATCTTTTCAATTTAAAGCAATCATCACACCAAGCATTTGTTCCAACCAACCATCCATTTCATCCATTACCTCCATGTATTCACACCTAAAACACTTAAACATAAATCCAGATAAAAACCTTACCACGATATCCGTCGATCTCTTATTGGGAGCTGAGCTGGTGCCTCAAATATTTACTGATGGTCGCATTCAGGGCGGACCTAATGAGCCTATTGCGGTTAATTCCGTTTTCGGGTGGATCATAATGGGAAAATCTTCTATTTCCAATCCAAATCATCACTCAACTTGTCTTTCAACCACCAATGCCTCGCTTGAAAAATCGATTCAAAGATTTTGGGAATTGGAATCCATACCAAAAGAAACATCATTATCAAAATCAGAAGAAATGTGTGAATCTCATTTTAAAAAGAACTGTCAACTTACCTCCTCTGGTCGGTTTATGGTTTCGTTGCCATTCAAAACAAAGGAACCTGTTCTTGGAAATTCTTATACTATGGCGTTAAAACGTTTTTTGTCATTGGAAAATCGACTCCTGAAAAATCCTGCATTAAAAGATGATTATGTTAAATTTATGAAGGATTATCTTGAATCTAATCACATGACACGTCTGTCATCATTAAAATCTCCTTCTGAAAAATCCTATTATATACCACATCATTGTATTGTTCGACCAGAGAGTCTTTCTACAAAACTTAGAGTGGTTTTTGACGCCTCTGCCATAACGTCTAATGGCATATCATTAAATGATAATTTATTAATTGGGCCCAAGCTTCAGCAGGATATCGTAAAAATCTTAATGTCATTTAGATGTTTCAACTATGCATTCATCTGCGATATTAAGCAGATGTATCGGCAAATTTTGATATCCCCTTCTGATCGGCCGTTTCAGAAGATCTTATGGCGGTTCTCTCCTGCAGAACCGATAGAGGAATATTGTTTAAACACGGTAACGTATGGCGTAGCGTCGGCACCTTTTCTGGCTTTACGGACCTTATTGGAATTGGCCAACAAATATGAGAATTACTATCCTAGAGCAGCTACGGTTTTACGCAACCATGTGTATGTGGATGACATCGTTGCAGGGGCCCAATCGATAAATGAAGCTTTGAAAGTACAGCAGGAATTGATTGATCTATTGGGAAGAGGAAGCTTTGAGCTAAGAAAATGGGCGAGCAATTGTAAAGAAATATTACGTTCTGTGTCCAATACTGGTGCATAGTTATCATCCATCCACAAATTCTTTTCAAAGTAATGATATATTCACCATTGAACTGAACCAAGAAGATGTTCTATTTTCATTCTTCGAAAGTTATATACGTATTGAGGGGGATTATAAAGAAAAATTAAACGATCCAACTGATACCATCCAACTAACGCACAACTTACCGACATTTCTATTTGAATATATCGCATTTGAACATAATGGTACTGAAATCGAGCGGGTACGTGAACCGGGTTTAACATCCTTCATTCGAACCCTACTTCAGCAAAACGAAGTGGAATGTAAATCTTTAGAAATAGCTGGTTTAAAATGGCCGCCTGAAGGAAATTTGCCCACAGTGAGTGTAGACAAAGATTTCATGTTTCAAGTCCCTTTAAGTCATATTTTCGGATTATTTAGAGACTATAATCACGTTATGAGAGGTCGCTTTAAATTTAGATTTGTTAGAAGTCGTACTGACTCCAATTGTTATAAATCCACATCAAAAGCTGATCCTAGCACCGCAGAGTTTACTATAAAAACGGTTACATTGTTAGCGAAACATGTGTACCCCAGTCCATCGATAAAGATTAAGCTTTTAGATGGTTTAAATAAAAATTCAAACATTCCTGTACCATTTCGGAAATGGTCTTTTTATGAGCTACCTTCAATGAGAAAGGGAAGTAAGGAGATTTGGTCGGTCACGTCAACAACTAACAGAGGTAGACCTCAATATGTTATAGTCGCATTCCAAACCAATCGAAAGGATCAAGCAATTTCTGATTGTACACTTTTCGATCACTTGAACATTATAGATCTTAAAGTATATCTAAACTCATACTGCTATCCGTTCGAGTCGATGAATTTACAGTTTGCAAAAGAAAATTATGTTGAACTATATAAAATGTATACTGAATTTCAACCGTATATTTGGGAAACATCTCGAAAACAACCGATTATGGATTTCGTAAGCTTTAAAAAAAGACCTTTCTTCGTGGTGGATACCACTAAGAATAATGATGAAGAAGCCGCTCCATCCGCATCATGTGAGGTGCGCATCGAAATTCAAAACAGTAAAGATTTTCCACCTGATACAAAAGCATACTGTATACTACTTCAAGAATCCATGTATACATACAAACCTTTGAGTGGGGAGGTTTCTATAATTATAAATTAAATTCCTAAATTCCAACATAAGTTTGAGTGGGAAGGTATCTATAAATTAATAAATTCCAACGTGAGTTCATATGCATATTAGATTACAATATGAAGTTCAGATGTGCGGTTGTAGACGTTCAAGGGTTTTACGTCAACTCTAAATTCGAAGTTAAAGAATTTACTCTTCTGGATATCACCACCACCAACTACACTATACATTTACACCTAAAGCCTAGTATACCATTCCAACGATTAAACGTTCAAGATCAGAAGACAGTAAGATATTTGGAACGTAACCATCACAGGTTGTTATATAACGATGGGTGGATAAATCAATCTGAAGGTCTAAATGTAATTGCTAACTTAATTTCCTCCTACGATCAAATTTTTGTTAAGGGAAATCAAAAGAAGCAGTTGTTAGAAACACATAACCATAATAAATCAATGATAACGGATATTGCGTTAGAATTTGCGAAAGAAGATGAGACTAAATTAAATTCAACCTTCAATCAATGTTGGTTTCATATGGACTCTCCAGCAGTATGTTCACAAAACAATGTTTTAATTTTAAAAAAATTTTTATGTAAACAAAATTAAGTTATTTAAGTTGTAAATAAATAAATTTTTATAAAGTTGGTTGTAGTTTTATAATAAAAATCTACACCCAATTCACATTTAATCACTTAGTTGTAAACTATCACACAGTGTAGATGTAAATTTACGAATCATGAAAGCTATAACTATCTTTCTCTGGACTTGTATGTTAGCACATACATTGGGAACGATAAGTGAACGTGATGAAGAAATTTATATGCTTCTCGATAAATATGGGTATATCGAACGAGAAACTAATGCGAGTCAAAGTGATTTAAATGTGGACCAACTAAGCTTATTGAAGAAAGGAATATCTCGGTTTCAAAAATCATTTAATCTTCCAGTGACCGGTAAAATAGACTTTAGAACCGTAGATTTACTTGGTAAGCCTAGATGTGGTAATGAGGATTCTTTCGACTTTCTGAAATCAGGCTATCAAAACCGAAAATGGAGTTCATTAAATATTAAATGGGGTATATACGGTGACTATCATCCAAACGGTTTTATCACGATTACGCAAAAAGCGTTTAACGTTTGGTCTAAACACGTAAATTTACATTTTAGGAGAGTAATATCAGACCCTAACATTTTGATCGCTTTTAAATCGGGGAAACATGAAATTATAAGAAATGATAAAGCATCATGTTTAGGTCGCTTCGATGGTATGGGAGGAATCCTTGCGCACGCCGATTATCCTGACATTAACAAAAACAAAATTGAAATTCATTTAGATAAAGACGAGAATTGGGATTTAACTAATACCACATTGGCAGGCAAAACTAATCTATTCCTAGTTCTAGTACATGAAATAGGACACGCATTAGGATTAGATCATAATAATGAGAGTGATTCTATCATGTTTCCCAGTTATGGATTCATTCATATTGAAAATTTCACATTAAGTCAGAATGATATTCATGCGATACAGAAAATTTATGGGAATTCAACTTCAGCACATAAAGTATCTACTACTACTACTACTACGTTAAAACCTGCACCCAAAATTGAAACCACAACGTTAAAACCTACACCCAAAATTGAAACTACATCTTATGAAACTACAGCTCCCTTGACCTTATCTCACATCTGTGATATTGATGATAAGTTTTCTGGATTTTTAATACATAAAAAAATAATTTATGTATTTTATAAAGAATGGGTTTGGTTAATTGATTTAAAATCTAAAATGCCAAGTCGTCCTAAACCTGTAAACATAAATGATTGGATAAAACCTTTGAAAGGAGTTTTAGAAAGTACAGATTATAATTATCAGGTTTCTTTTGCTTCTAATGATAACCTTATACTTATTGTAAAGAATTCAATTTATATAATTGAATTTAGTAGTATGTCGATACGTAACAGATGGTATTTTGAGGAAACTAGTTTGGGATTTAATAATTCAACTAAGGTTACAGGAATTGTGTTAAGTAATTATGGATCACCTTATATATTCTTCGATGATGCCTATGCTGTTCAAGTGGATGAACAACATTTTAGAACACGAAGACTTATGACGTCAGTTGCTGATGAGTTTTCAGGGATGCCAATTCATTTTAATGGTGTTTATAAATCTTCAGATGGTTTATTTAATTTTTTTGTTGGTAATAAAATAATTCGATACAATGAATATTTAAAAGAGAGTGTGGATGCCGTAGATAAAAGCCTATCAATATTAAGAATAACTTGTCCCTATACATCTATAGTAGATCAACTAAAATTTCTGTTATCAAAAATATATCCATCATCTAAAATATCTGTACCTTAGTAATGTTGTAAAACTTGTATATTATTCCAATTTAATATTAGATATAGGGTGCATCATTATGTGTAAATTTCATTTTAATTAGTATATAACATGCTCTGAAACATGAGTGTCAACGGTGTAAGTTTAGATTTTTGGAGACTAATTGACAAATTGTGGATAAAATTCAAAGAGGATCTAAAGAAAGAAATTAAACTTATTGATGAAAGTGTATTTTCTATAGGTGAATTAAACATTAAAGTTGGTATTAGTGCTGTTAGAGGCTTTATACCTTGTGTAGAGTTAATTTTTAAATCGTGTAATGATGAATTAAACAAAATTTGTCTTAACCATGAAAATTGGGAACATTTAATGTATATATTCAAACAATTTTACTTCAACAAGGAGGTGATTTCAAGTCACACAATACCTTTAGCAGAAGGAATTTTAAGTATTACCCGCGTGAGTGAGAACGTACTGTGTATTAAATGTGAAGACTTCAATGTTGATGGAAATTTGATAACTTCTTTAATACCTATTGTAATTGTCATGTCAGAAGTTGATTATATTTTATATTTAGATTGTTTAATTTCGTATAGATTAAGTATATTAAATAAATATGTTAAAATTATATTTAAATAAATTTATTTTAATTAAAACATAATTTATATATTTTTAATATAACCTTTGTAAATTCTCACCTAGTAACAAGCAAATAACCTAGGTAAATTCCTACAAAGTAATTTCTAGCTTTCTGCTAGTTTACGTAAAGTAATTTTTGGTATTTATGTGATGACTTTGAGTATTGACCTTAGTTTTGATAATGAATATTTAAAAACGTAAATAACCTTGGTAAAATCCCACCTAGTAACAAGCAAATAACCTTAGGTAAATTCCCACCCACTAATTTCCTAAATATATTTCGCTACCCAGTAATTTCACAAATATGTAAAGCTAACTTACGTAAGCAACTTTGGAATTTACTTACGTAATCAACTACTTTGGAATTTACTGACGTAATCAACTAATTTCACAAATATGTAAAAGCATATTAGCAAACTTTGGAATTTATGTGATGACTTCGAGTAATGACCTCGTTTTGATAATGTATATTTTAACACGCAAATAACCTTGGTTAATTCCCACCCAGTAACAAGCAAATAATCGTGAGTTAGAATTGCTAGCGGTCGGTAAAGTGTTAGTTCACTTTAGTACTAACTTAAACGAATTCGTTTACTTTTAACCTGTTTTCACCTAAATCATAATGTTTGTTTGCGAATTATGTGAAAAATCTTATACGTTAAAAAGTAATCTCAATCGTCATGTACGACATACACATAAGATCGTACTTAACATCGTTAAAACATGTACAATTTGTGATAAAACATTTTCACGGAACGATAGTCTAATTAGACATCAACGAAAAGTACATAAGATGATTAAAGAATCTCGTCAAGCACCATCTCAACCTTTTAAAAAGGATGAATTCTCATCGCTATCGCTACCATCAACTTCTTCAACACCA